TATTTCAGGAGAGATCATATTTAAAAATATGAATAGTTCTGCCAGTACAATGTCTAGGACATAATTAAGAATTATAACAGACGTAGTAGAAGAAAAGACACCATGTGGGAGAAAAAAGGATAATATATATAGACAACAGATACAAGCTTATACTGCTTCAGATAATAGAAATGCATAACACACTGCAACACAACTGTGTCCAAAACCATAAGCTAAAAAAAAATTAACTAAATCTTAAAAGGTGGCATGGTAGACTAGAAAAAGATAACCAGAAAGTATACTAGTCATTGCCTAAGGCCGAGACATGAGGCATTGGTAGTAAGATAGTAGAATTTTGACCTTCATGTGGAAGATGGGGTCCGTTCCCAACCAATAGACCTCATGTGCAGCCACCATAATTCTTTCAGATGGACTAGGAAGAAAGGTCTGGTGATCTACTGCTGAAAATTAGTCAAAGAGAACTCCACAGATCATAATAGTCTGATTCCCAACTGATCATGAGGATGGGATAGCATTGAACAGTATTTCATTCACTTGTGCATGGGATCACCATGGAGTCAGGGACTGCCTAGCTGGCAGCTAACAAAACTAAAATCAGCAAGTCTAGGAAGAGAGAGATAAATGGAGTGATTGCTAATGATTAAGATCAAAGAAAAGATGGAGAAAGACACTTGAAAAACTCAGGAGTACTTCTACAACATGTGAAAAAGAAAGGAACATTATATATGTGTAAATGGACAAGTGTATTAGAAACATTAATAGTATAATATCACATGTAATTGAAATTATGCTGTAAAAAAAAATCAAAAATGGCTGCAGAAGTACATCAACAGGGAATTGCTAGAAATTCAAGCTAGGTTCAGCAGAGGGGATGGAGAGAGGTATATCATTGCAAATAGTAGATGGATCTTGGCTGAAAGCAGAGAATATGGGGAAGATGTTTACTTGTGTTTTATTGACTATGCAAAGGTATTTGACTGTGTGGATCATAACAAATTATGGAAAACACCAAAAAGAATGTAGACTGCAGAAAACTTAATTGTGCTCGTGAGGAACCTGTACATAGACCAAGAGGCAGTTGTTTAAACAGAACAAGGGGATACTGAATGGTATAATATCAGGAATGGTGTGTGTCAGGGTTGTATCCTTTCTTTTATCACACTTTTTCAATGTATGTGATGGGCAAATAATTTGAGAATCTGGAGTATATGAAGAAGAACATGACATCAGGATTGGAGGAAGACTCTTTAGCAACCTATGATAAAAATATGATACAACCTTGCTTGTGGGAAGTGAAGAAGACTTGAAGCACATTCTGATGTACATGATAGACTACAAACTTCAGTGTGGATTTAAACTTCATACAGAAAACAAAAGTCCTCACCACTGAACCAATAAGTAACATCATGATAAATGGAGAAAAGATTGAAATTGTCAAGGATTTCATTTTACTTGGAACTACAATCATTTCCCATGGAAGCAGCAGTGAAGAAATCAAATGACATATTGCATTGGGTAAATTTGCTGTGAAAGACCTCTTTAAAGAGTTAAAGAGTAAAGATGTCACTTTAAAGACCAACCTGCACCTGACA